TCTTCAAGCAACAATGAGAAGGGTAAAGCTGCTGAGGTTCAAGCCTACAAACCACCAATTCCTTACCCCACAATGCACTTTATAAAGGCTCAAATGACAGTCTACTCAAAGTTCATAAAGAAGATAGAAGCAAGCTTGAGTATATTGCTATGAAGCCACCTGACGTCATGGAATGGATGATGGGATTCCAGGTTGAAGTGCTGAAACAAGATGAAGACCCTCCTGACCACAATGAATATGATGGTGAAGCCTTTGATGGTGATTGTCTACTTGGATTGTTTGATGAGATTAAGGTGCATTATTATGAACCACAACTGCCAAAGAAGAGAGTCAGGAACCCTAAGAAGAAGCTCTACATAAGGGGTGATGCTTTGTTTTCCAAGAAAGGGGAAGAAACATTGGTTCCACTTCATCCCCATCCATGATCATCAAGGGTGAAAAGTCAAGCTAGTGACTTCAAACAAGCATACTTGGGAGGTAATCCCATGACTATCTATGTAAATATGCTTTTATTTTCCTTTCGAAATGTTTTTTTGAGTGATTTCAGGTTGGAAAAAGTGGTTGAATAGGTCAGAATATGTGGAAAATCCAAGAAAACTAAAGCTCTGTTTCTGCATCGGGGTACCATATCGAGCAGAACCTCTGCAAACTCTACCCGATGCAGTTTATCTTGGGGAAGAAGCAGTCCGTAAGTCGAGCTAGATGCACGATGGCGGTCATATCGAGGTGCCACATCGAGAAAAACCTCAAAGGCCCTGCCCGATGCAGATGCAGGACAGATTTTTGTCGTCCGATAGATCAGCTCGAACGGAGGCTTTCTGATCCGATTCAGTCTCCGTGTTCTTCATCAAATTTGTAGAGGATGGAGTAATATTTCGAATGGTATAAGTTTCAAGTCATTCTGATCCATGGTTAGAATGATATGGCGATTACAGTAAGCTGGTATAAAGCAAGGCGATCATATTGGGCATGCACATCGAACAGAACACCAAAGGCCCAGATCGATACGGATAAATGCATTTCAAAACACCAATGCTGCAAGAATGCCTCTATACAATAGTTTCCATTAGTCATGTCTACTGATGAATGTCCATCCTCCACCCCTCCAACCACCAAGACAAGTACACACCTTCTTCATCTTTTACTCCTTACTCATTATCCTTTACACTTCATTTTTGCATTGTGGTTTGCCTCCTTTTGCATTTATAATACACAGAGGACTGTGTATTCTAAGTGAGGGGGAGGGTTTACTTGGACAAACATTCTGCACTTGCATATAGCTAAACAACCATTCGTCATACTTGCACTGCACTTAATGCATAGAAAATCACTAAAAATTTAAATTTTTTTGAAAATTGATTTCTTAAAAAACAGAATGTTCATGTGCATTCATATAGGACTTATACTTCATGCGTTCACTTAGATTGTAGCTTACTTGTTTAAAATGGGTGCAATGATAGTGAATCTTTGGAAATGCTAGTGGTTTATGAAAATGATGTCCTTGTTCTTAGTCCTTTGATGCATTTGATGAAGCACTTGAAATAAGGCTGACCACTCTTTGAATTTATGATAATGAAACTCTTGTTTGAAGTTGAAGGTTGCTTGATTTGATATTGACCTTTATATAAGTGGAACCTTAATTTGAACTTTGAATTATCTTGTTTGTGCATTGAAAGTTATTGCATGGCTACCAATATACACACTTGGATCATTTTCTTCCTTTTCACTACTCTTGTTGATCCAAGTAGCTGATCCTCATCATTATGGGAAAGTTAACCACACCTTGAACCAATCATTCCTTCGAAGCCCAAACACTATTGTGAGAATTTGTGAGGCCTTGCATTATCATTTCAAATTTATCTTGGAAAAAAGAGAAGGCTGGCAAGGAGGAGCTCTCTTGTAGACATCAGCTTGCATTTTGAGCTTGATACTAGGTTAGGAGTTTTGGGAAAGGGTAGAGTTAAGTGGTTGAGCTTTGAATGTTTGTATCATTTAAGAAGAGAAGAAGAGTGAGAATGAGAGTATGAGGAAGAATGACATTATGGGGAAGATAATTATATTTTGTGGTTAAGTGACAAAAGGAAAAAGGCTCTAAGTAACACAGAAAAGAAAGGCGCCAACAACAACAAGCTAACAAAGATCATCCAAAAGAAGAAAAATCAGACCAAACAATCCACCAAAAAGGTGATGAAAGATGGCGCCTATACAACAAAGAAGAGCAAGTTTTAAAAGAAGTCAGCCACACAAGCAAAAGAAGAAGAAGTTCCCCACATTTCAAGAAGAAAAAGATAAAAAGAGCTTTGGGAAAGGGTAAATTTAGAGGTTCAACTTTGGAATTAGTCTTTATTAAGATCATCTTTGGGAAAGGGTAGAAAAGAGCTTTGACTTGCATGTATAAGTTTGCTTTTACCTTTAGCATTTTGCATATGATAGATTTATTTCTTATGAGATATCCCCTGTTTCTATGAACCATTGATGAATGATATCATTTTTATCTCATAACCATGTCCCTTGAACCAAATGCTTTCACTTGATTTGCACAAACTTGATCTATTGGTTACTTGTTTAATGAATGTTAAAATGGTTAAGTGATTTGAGAGCTTGTGTAGATTGATAACTTGAGAATCATTTTCATTTTGTGATAAACGTGGCTAAGTTTTAGAGTATAGTTCCATCATTTGCATCGTAGCACTAGAAACATGGACACCATTTTGATTCATTGTTAGTATTTTAATGATATGTGTTCCCATTTTAAAACCTCATCACCATGCTAAATGTTTTGTTTACTTGAGGTCAAGCAAAAACTAAGTGTGGAGATGTTGATAGCTTGCTATGTTGTAGTGTTTTAGGATGCATTTTATACATATTTTCTCTTGTTCTTGCATCATTTCTTATCATTTTAGTCCCATTTGCATCTAGAACTAGCCATGCATGCATTTAGATTAAGATTGCACACATTTGCATATTTCGAGTGTGTTTCAGGTGTTTTTGGGGCTAAGGAGACTTGTTTAAGGATGGAGGATCATCTGGAGTCAAAGAAATATGCAAGAATAATGAAGCCAACCTGTTTAGAAGGTACATCAAGGTCCCACATTGAGGTCTTTGCTCGGTTCAACATGACGCGAGTTATAGATCAGTCCGTACGAAGCCTCTCCACTCAGATTAAGGCTCCACGTTATTCATGAAAGTTGTAGAGGATTAGAATAGATTTCCAATGATGGTCGAATCATGTCAATTGGATCTGGGGTTCAAGAGATAGAGTGATTTCAGCTGCACAGTGTTCACTACGCCATTGTACCGGGCAAGCACATCGAGCAAAACCCAGGCAAGCCTGCCTGGTGCGTGGTGAACCGACAAAAGATGCCTGAAGCAACAGAGACAAACTGCACCGGCCAACTGCATCGAGCAAAACATCTTCCATACTGTCCGATATGCTTTATCTGCGCTGTTGACCAACTTTTTCTGCTTTTGACCAAACCTTATCCTTTCATCTTTATAATCTTTTGGCTTATCTTTTGTAGCACTTATCTTGTTTCTTATCCTTATTTTCGAGCTTGTGAAGAAAAAGGGAGAGAGTTTTGGGATTTTTCAAAAGGAGATCATCTTTTTTATAAAATCTTGCATTTTCTTTACATATATCTATTTTGCTAGTTCTTAATCATGTTTATCTTGCTTCTCTCTGTTGTTTTCGTGGCTTTAGTTATGCTTAGGGAGTAGTTACGTTTTAGTTTAAGGTTAAGGGAGGTGGGGTGATTCTTGTGATTGATTAAGGTGTTTAGGACTTAGATCTTCTCACTCCCTTTCTTGTGTGGTTGTGCTTAATATCTATGACCTCTTTGTAGGATAAGCAAATGTTAGGATTTCATGTGCACTCTATGTGTTTGATGAAATTCCTAAAGGTTTTATTGCATGAAGTTGATGCTTAAATGATCATATTTCTTTGCATCTTTACCTCTTGCTTGAATACGTTTAAAGCTTATGACCAGGCCCGACCCAAAATTTTGATGTACCGTGAGCCAAAAATAAAATGGGCCCTTATTTACTATGTATTTTTGTTTTTTTTTTCCAAACGGGCCCTTAAGTGTCAAGGAAATTTGCCAAAAATTAAGTGTACCCTGTGCATTTGCACCTTGGGCACATGCCCAGAACCGGGCCTGCTTATGACCACATTGGTGGAACTTTTCTTAGATTTCTATTATGCATCAAAAGTATGAGTAGATGTCTCAACCATTGCTCAAAAGATTAGTAGAACTAGCCTAACAAAATTAGAAGCTAAGATGCTTTGAGGTTATATGGAACTTGTGATTAATGCTTGCTCTTTATAAATACACCATCAAAAGTGGGTTTAAAATGCATTGAGTCAAAGGGATTGATATCTATAATAGTGTTTTCTTAGTTAAGGTTGAGTGTTTAGAGTTGCTTGTTTTGATCACCTTAATCATGAACAATGGATTACCCTATCATCATTGCCTTAGCCTTGAACCTTGCTTTTAAATTTTGAATTTGTTTAGTAGTTGCCCTGTTTTGCTCTGCTTCATTTGCTTATTATTGCTTGTTGCCTTGTTACTTTTAAGCTCTTTAGTATTCATGGTTTGAACTCTTTAGTTTTCTTGCTTGTGTTACTTGGTTACTTGAACCTTTAAACCCCTTTTTGGCTTAGATTAATAAGTTTCTGCATCTTCGTTACACTATTCCCACAAAGGATTGATAACCCTCAGATATACTACATCTGATTAGAGAAGGAATTGAATCTAATGACCCAAAAGTTCTTCTTCAATCTGCCACAAAAATAAATATATAAATTTAATATATGACAAAAATAAATCTGTTATAAAAAATCAAATCTAGTAAAAATAAAAAAGTCGATAAATCTATAACAAAAGTATGCATTCAAAATAAATCTGTTAGAAAAAAACTAATCTGTTGTTATATGCAATAGATTTATCATCACAAGTCTATCATTTTAAATAAATCTGTGAAAATATTAATAAGTCTATGACAGTCATTATAAGTTTATGAAAAAAATCTGCTATTCAAAACAATTTTGAGAGCGAAATTAAGTCTGTTATTATTATATTAACAATTTTATTACAATAGATTTTTTTTTTATTTTGTGAAGTTTTTTGGTGATGTGAAAATAATTATAATGATATATATGTAATTATTTTTTTGTTGATAAAGGTTTTAAAGATATTTTTACTATGAAATTTTAATCGTTAATAAAAATAAAATAAGAACTATTTTAATAATAAATTGATTAATTAGTGCAATTTAAGCTAATCTCTTTATAAAAATAAAAAATAATAGAAAAGTAGGAGAGAGGTAGAGAAAAATCTCTTGGAAAACACATCTAACCAAGTGGCATTAACATTAGCAAAAATGGAAATTTGACCGGAAAAAATCACTTAAATCATGAATTTTTGAATTTCGACTATTTAATGCATATCCTTTCACATGAGCAATTTGAAGAATAGACATATATATTGACTACACTTTTAATCCTAAATTTATGTTGACTAAGCCATTTTAAGCATTCCGTTATCTCCATTAACAGTTCTATTAGATGGGGTTAATTTCCGTTTAAACTCGTCGTTAATTGAAGCAAGGGTTTTTATGATCCTTGTTATACTTCAAAGTAATCATAATCTCCAAATCAGATGTAGTATAAGGTCTTAGGTGTCAAACACACTTGTGAAAATTGAGATACAAACAATGCTGTAAGCTAAGTATGATTGGAGATTTTGATTGTGAAATAGTGTCTTGAAGAAGGACTTTTGACTCTCAATTCCATCCCTCGCTAATCAGATGTAGTATAGAAGAGGTTTAATAATCCATTTAGGAGCTAGAGTAAAAGAGATGCAAGACACTAACTAAGCTTAACCATGTATGATAAAGAAGGATGTTTCTAACAACCTAAGTAATCAAAGATGAAATGCAAAAGTGAAAAGCAATACTAACAAGTTTAAAGCAAGTAATCTTATACAAGAAAGCTAAATGCAACAGGAATTAAAGAAAGCAAGATCCAAATGTAAATGCAAGATGAGAGAATAAAAGAAAAGCACAATAACTTAAAGTGCAAGGCAAGAAATGGATAAAAGAGCAAAGATGTCTAAGTAATGCACATGTTAGACCCACTTGTGATGGCGTATTTGTACAAAACTAGCATGATAACACAAGGCTCTTAAAGACCAAACAATGTATTAAGATGCAATATAATCACTATCCCAAACATAGTTCTTTCAGGCATTTAAACAAACACTTGTGATGCAGCAAACATCTATAATCTATTTCACTTAAACAAGCTACTCAAGCCTTAAGAACAACTAAACAAGGTAAATCAAGCAAGGATTAAGCCAAAAATCCCTAAGCTATCAACTAATCATCCCCAAATCTGCTCCAACCTCAAACCATATGAAACTACTCACAACACATAGCAAAATCAACAGAAACAAGCAGAAATGACAGATCAAACATGATTAAGCAAGAACTAGAAGGAAAATAACAAAGAAAGTGCAAAACTTTATTGAAAAGGTGATCTAGATCAAAAACCCATAAAAATTTCTTTGTGGTTTCTCACAAGGTCGAAAATAGGATCAAGGTGAAGATAAGTGCTAAAAAAGATAAGGTTTAGCTTAAATAAGCTAAAAAGATAAAGTTTGACAAAAAGTATAAAATCTTGGTCAACTCTCGGCGTTGACGCATCGGGGTGCAAGGGAAGGTGTTCTGCTCGAAGTGGTCAGCTCGATATCTAGGTGTGTTCTCGGTGTTCTCCTCGATGCTACACCTCGATATGCATTGTACATTCATATTGGCCTATACGGCATGCTTAGTTCGGTGCACTACCTTGGTGCAGTCTCAGAGTCCTCGGTCAAATCCTTCTTCCTCGTCCAATGTTTCACATCGAGCAAGCTTCACGGATGTTCTGCTCGATGCTGGACCTCGATATGGAACTTCAAAAATCTCCCAAAACACCTGAAAATCACAATAATCATGCATATGTATGCAGATGTATGCATTCTTAAACTAAATGCATGCAAAGTTGACTATAAGTGCAAATGAGTCTAAAATGCTATACTATGATGAAAAAAAAGGGAAAAGATGCATGAAATGCAGCCTACAGTGGTCCAATATAGCAAGCTATCAACACGCCCACACTTAGTCTTTGCTTGCCCTCAAGCAAATAAAAGATTAAACATGGTGATGAGGTTTTAAAATGGGAACTCATATCATTAAAATGCTAATAATGAATCAAAATGATGTCCATGTTTCTAGTGCTAGAATGCAAATGATGGAACTATACTCCAAAACTTAGCCACACTCATCACAAAATGAAAATGATTCTCAAGTTATCAATCTACACAAGCCCTCAAATCACTTGACATTTTTTAACATTCAATTAGCAAGTAAACAATGGATCAAGTTTGTGCAAATCAAGTGAAAGCATTTGGTTCAAGGGACATGGTTATGAGATAAAAATGATCTCATTCATCAATGGCTCATAGAAACAGAGATCTCTCATATGAAATGAATCTATCTTAGGCAAAATGCTAAAGGTAAAAGCACACTTATGCATGCAAGTCAAAGCTCTCTTCTATTCTTTCCCAAAGATGATCCTAATTATGTCTAAGTCCCAAGATAAACCCCTAAATCTACCCTTTCCCAAAGATCTTTTGATATTTTTCTTCTTGAAATGTGGGCGACTTCTTCTTCTTTTGTTTGTGTGGTTGACTTCTTTTAGAACTTGCTCTTCTTTGTTGTATATGCGCCAATTTTTATCACCTTTTTGGTGGATTGCTTGGTCTGATTTTTCTCCTTTTGGATGACTTTTGTAAGCTTGTTGTTGCTGGCGCCTCTTCTTCTTTGTAACTTAGAGCTTTCTTCTTTTTTCACTTAACCACAAGATACAATCATCTTCCCACAATATCATTCTCTTCTTGAAACCATTCCCACTCTTCTTATCTTCTCATAAGATACAATCATTTAAAGCTTAAGCCACTTAATTCTACCCTTTCCCAAAACTCCTAACCTAGTATCAAGCTCAAAATGCAAGCTGATGTCTACAAGAGAGCTTTTCCTTGCCAGCCTTATTCCTAACACTTTTTGCCAAGATAAGTTCGAAAATGATAATGCAAGGCCTCACAAACTCTCACAATAGTGTTTCGGTTTAGAAGGAAGGATTGGTTCAAGGTATGTTTAACTGTCCCTTAATAATGAGGATCAGCTACTTGGATTAACAAGAGTGGTGAAAAGGAAGAAGATGATCCAAGTATGTATATTGGTAGCCATGCAATCACTTTCAATGCACAAACAAGATAATTCAAAATTCAAATTAAGGTTCCACTCATATAAAGGTCAAGATCAAATCAAGCAAGCTTCAACTTCAAACAAGAGTTTCAAAATCATAAATTCAAAGAGTGGTTCAGCCTTATTTCAAGTGCTTCATCAAATGCATCAAAGAACTAAGAACAAGGGCATCATTTTCATAAACCACTAGCATTTTCAAAGATTTACTATCATTGCAGCCATTTTAAACAAGCAAGATACAATCTAATTGAATGCATGAAGTCTAAGTCCTATATGAATGCACATGAACACTCTGTTTTTAAGAAATGAATTTTCGAAAATTTTCAATTTTTTAGTGATTTTCTATGCCTTAAGTGTAATGCATGGTTGTCTAGCTATATGTAAATGCAGCTGTGATGAGAATGCAGAATGTTAGTTCCAAGCAAACCCTCTCCCACACTTAGAATACACAGTCTTAGTGTATTATAAATGCAAAAGGAGGCAATACCACAATACCATCAATGAAATGTAAAAGAGAAGGTTTAAGGAGTGAAGGATGAAGAAGGCGTGTACTTGTATTGGTGGTTGGAGGGGTGGAGGACTGGATATTCATCAGTGGAGATGGTATATGGTGCCTATTGAATCGAGGCATCCTTGCAGCTTTGGTGTTTTGAAGAGCATTCGTCCATATCGAGCTGGGCTCTCGGTGTTCTGCTCGATGCTGCACCTCGATGTGATCACCCTCGAGCATCTTGCTTGGTGTACGGTACTTGCTCTTCGGTGTACAGACAAAGGCTTCTGGGGCGATTACATCGAGCAAGGCTCTGGAGGTTTTGCTCGATGTGGCACCTCGATGCGATCTCCATTGTGCAATCTGCTCGATGTACGGACTGCTTCTTCCTCGAGATAAACTGCATCGGGCAGGTTTTGTAGAGGTTTTGCTCGATACAACACCTCGATGCAGAAACAGAGTTTTAATTCCCTTGGTTCTCCAATTTGTTTGACCAATCTAATCACTTTTCCCATCCTGAAAACGCTTAACAAACATATCAAAAGCAAAAGGAAAGCATATTTACATAGACAGTCATGGGATTACCTCCCAAGTGTGCTTCGTTTAAGGTCTCTTAGCTTGACCTCCTTTACTTTGCTAGTTGGGAACATCAAGGAGACTAAGGCCAGTCTCCATTGCTAGAACCTCTGAGGCTAAATATGGCTTGAATCTATGTCCATTGACTGTGAATTCCCTTCCTTTAGTATCCAGCAATGTGATTGCTCCATAGGGAAGAACTTCTTTGATTCTATATGGCCCATTCCATCTTGACTTGAGTTTTCTAGGAAAGAGCCTCAACCTTGAGTTGTAGAGAAGAACCAAGTCGCCTGATCTGAATTCCTTGTGGACTATCTTCTTATCGTGGAAAGCTTTAGTCCTCTCTTTGTAAATCTTTGAATTCTCATAAGACTCCAACCTGATCTCTTCTAGCTCATGAAGTTGCATAAGTCTCCTTTCTTGAGCGCTCTTAATGTCATTGTTGGGCAGTTTGGTTGCCCATTGAGCTTTATACTCAAGCTCTACTGGAAGGTGACAAGCTTTTCCATACAACAAGCTGAAAGGAGATCTTCCTATTGGTATCTTGAATGCAGTCCTATAGGCCCAAAGTGCATCATCAAGCTTGGAAGACCAGTCTTTCCTTGTGATCCCTACTGTCTTCTCCAGGATGGCTTT